TTATTATACCCCATGGTATGTAATCATTATACCCACACATAATGCACAGACGATAGGAATTTTAGGGTATGTGAATTATATCTCATGCTGTTGTTAAGAAAGAAGTTGAGAAACTGTCCAAGTTCCACAATTAGTAAATGGCAGCCCCAGGCTCAAACTTAGGTCTGACACCAGAACCTGAGCTTTCAACCATCACATAGCTCTGATCACGGTTATTCCCAATGAACATTTGCTGAGAGACACAAGCAAACTGAACTACAGGCTTTGGCATAATTCCAACGACACATGTGGGGAAGAAAATCCTCAGAGCCCCACCCCCACCCGCCAGGCACTTCAAAGGATCAATACACATTAAGAATTATTCATCTACGAATCCCTTTTAACCTTCTGTAACTTGGAACAATTGTTATTCTAGAGGAAAAACAAAACAAAATGTAAAAGGAGGGTATCCTGCAAGGAATATGAGTAAAGGTCCTCTGAGGCCAAAATTAGGATGTTTTGAGCCAAATAAAATGTAAATCTGTGGGTGAGCGTCTGTGCTCCCCCCGTCCTCCCGTGTCTTTCCACCCAAACGCCTCACTGCAGGCAATGCTCTGGCCACACTGTTCCTCTCTGATCTCGCCTCCTCAGTCTCCCACCACCCCCGCTCTCCACTGCACTGCGGTCACACCTGCCTCTGTCCTTCTTGAACATTCCACGCTCTCCTCAACACCAGCTGTCTCACTGCCCTAGCTGTGAGGGGTCCTCAGCCTCCCAGCCTCCTGGGGTGGCTCATCATTGAGAATCAGGCTCAGCTCAATGTCCCTCTGCAGACACACCTTTTGGCTTCTGTGACATCTCAACAACACTGGCCACCCCCACCTACAGTCCCTCTCCATCACACAGCTGAGTTTTGTGTCCTTCAATGCACTTGTCTTTATTTAGTGGCTCACCGTCTGCCTTCTCCCCTGGAATGAAGCTCCATCGGGCAGGCAGGGACCTGTCTATCTTATTCCCAGCAGCATTAGCGGTCTTTGGCATATAGCAGATGTTCACTCGACATTTGCTGAACAAATAAATAAAAGACACACCTCTGCCATGAGATGCCTCAGCAAGCCGAGGGCTCACTCGTTCAATCTAGGACAGCACAGAGTCAAAAAGGCTCTTCTCGAGGGAACTCATATCACAGTAATCTTCAAAAGCTGGCAATCCAGGCCTGGTAGAGTCATTAACCATCTACATTCTATGGCCACCCCTTCGATTAGTTGGTGTTAACATCTTTATGCTTTCACTCCTCCACTGAGCCCACATACTTATTATATACATTTTGCCTTTTCCCTCCTCTAACAATTTTAAATTGTTATAAATAGTGTGGCAATGACCACCCTATAATGGGAATGAGGTTTCTCTTTCCTCAGAAGCTCTTTTGGTTCCTCTGTGACTGATTTAAAATTCTCTTGGCTCATTAAGTTTATTCTAACATGGATCAGACTTTTCCGTTAATCCCGGCCATTGAAAGTTATTTAAACTAGAGACCCACGCTGGCCAACTCATGTCACGTATGCTTACAAAGTATAATTCCCCTGGCTCCAGGCCATCATTACACACTCACGTTGTCTGCAGATGGTTCGGAAATCTGCACAGGGGATATATCACAAGATGAGAGCTCCCACGGCCTCCCTCCCACTGCACCCACTTTCCCCTGCAAGGCCTCCACTTTCTCCCAGTCTATCAGCCTCCTCCTGACCTCATCTCCTTTCTTACCCAGAATGCATCCTGATATTTATCTACCCAAGTTATTCACCAGTATTCAGAGAGGTCCGCCTCCACAGTTTTCCACTGAACCCTGATCCATGCTACAATTTCCCCGCCTTCCCTCATAAACTGCAGTAATAAATAATAATAAATACATTTTAAAAGTCTACCATTGGGAATAATGATGCCAGACTAATGCATAACACGTGATTTCTAATGAAGGCTGCTCATAAATTTAGCATGACCTTGGTGAGCTTCCCCACCCATTCCTCTCAGCAATTAACCTGGACTTTCATGACTTTCCTCAAGCCCCAACATACCGTCCCTCTTCATCCCAATCCCTATGGCAGATAACGCCATTTCCAAGCAGAAAAAAATCTTCTGAGATGTGTTTCCTGAACTCCATCCCTTCACCTGCAAAGTAATCTTTACCTGCACACGCAATAATATCTTCACACAAGATGAGAATGAACTGTCTTTTCTGGTTCAGAACTACCAATAAATTCTGCCTGATCTCACTCCCTTCTGTCTTCGCCCAGATCTTGCTCCATAAAGTCTCTCTATTCTGTATCTTCACCTCTCACTCTTCTCAGCTCCATCTCTCAGCCTATCATCTTGCGCTGTTATCCCTAAAAGGCCCCTCCCTTGACCCCAGGGCCTTCCTTTAGCCACTACTCTGGTTCTCTCTCCTTCTCAAACCTCCCCGATCAGCACTTGCTGTCTGCACATCACCTTCTCTCATTCACTCCCAGCCCACTGTCACCTGGCTTCTGCCCCCAGAGCTTCACTGAAACTGCTGCCTTCAGACCAGCACTGACTGCTTAATTGGCAAAACCGAAGGGAAGTCTTCACTCCTTATCTCCCTAGATCATTCTACTGCAGGTGATGCTGTAGATCCCACTCACCCTCTGTCGCTTCGTGGGCTCCTCTTCCTCTCCTCAACACATAGCTATCTTCCCAGCTTATGTTCTCCCTATTCTACCCACCCTCCCTGGACAATCTCTCACATCCATGTTTTCCATTAACACTTACATGGAAATGACTCTCAACTCTGTTCTCTCCAACCCCCGGGTCTTCTTGAGCTCCAGACTGTTATAGCCACCCACCTCCTAGACACGGTGTCCCCAAACCCCTCAAATCAATTATGTCCTGATTTCACATTCTTTTATGTTTACCATTTAACCTGTTTGTTCCCTATGCTACCCATTTCAGCTGGATCCCACCATCCACCCAGCATCCAACCAAGGCATCTATTAACTTTAACTCTTCCTTATGCCTTGTCATCCGCATCCAAGGAAACTTAATGGTTTTTATCACCTGAAGATTTCTTGAAAGCATTTCCTTTCTGTGCCTCTCTACACTTCCTGAGAATTGAACTTCTGTTTATTCCCCTTACTCCACTTTTCACAGTCTAGGAAATAATGGGCAAGCACTTGAGCATGATATACAAGATCTTCCAGGACTTGAGCTGTCTCTAGGCCTACCTCTCCTGACTCATCTCCCTCTGCCCCAACCTTGTAATTTACCACGAAGTTCAGCAAAAAGCCGAATGCTCCCTTAACAGCCACAGAGCTACATGGCCCTGCCTCCTTGGCACGCACTATCTCCTCGAGCAAATAATTCTCTGTATTCATTCATCCTCACTCCCTCTCTTTCTCTGCTCCCCCCTCACCCATCCCCAAGACTTCCCTTCCTCACTGACACTGGTCCTGTAAGATTTATCTCAAGCCTCACCTTTCCAAGATGCCTTTTCATACTTCCCCAGCCTGGAGAGCTGCCTCTATTTGGTGCATGTTTATCTCTAACACAACAAATTTCACTCATTAAAAATTACATGTTAATCTGATGGCCTCCCCCAACTAAACTATAAGCTCCTAAAGGCAAGGATTGCTCACAGCAGGTGCTTAAGTTGATTCCTTTGCACATTAAATATTAGTGGTAAATAACTTTCTGATGTGTTTCCAGACTTCTAACTACCCTGGACGTCCCATAGGACCCTTTCTCGGTCATTTGTTTGGGAGGCTCTGCTGTGGCCATCAGCCTCAACCAACACATAGCAATGTTGGTTGCTACCACACTGCAGTCTGGAATGACAGTATCCACTGCAGTAAGAGTTAATGGGACAGAGGACCTAAACACTAAATTTAGCCATAGCTAACTTCTCAACATAGTCTAAGATTTGGCAAGACAAATCTCTTAGATGGGCGCAGTGCTGACACAGCCTGGCAAAAAGGAACTCAACCAACGCTCAGCAGACCCAGAAAGAAAAACCTGCAGTACTTCTCACAAAGGAAGTTCTGAGTTCTGCTGATTCATTCCGACTTAAAGCTGCAATAACACTTGAGCAAGGAGCACCCAAGCTGACTCTACATTTTTTTCCTGCAGAGTTCACAGAATTTGGCATACAGGAAATTTAATAGTTCTTCTTTAGAACCCTTGACGATTTCTCAGATTATTGATTGTGGTCATCTACATTATAGTGTCTGATGGCACCACCTGGTATTTTTCTGGCAAAGATGAAGTCCCGGTCAAAATGCTGATGAGAGTTTACAATGCTGATGAAAGCCTCTTGAACTAAAGAAACCCACACAAGAAATCCCTTTCACCAAGTAAAGTTCACTGCTAACTCCGTGAGAGGTTGACGAGCCTGCCTTTATCATCAGCTCTTGCCCATGCTTTGTACAAAGGCACCTGCACAATGGGTTCCAACTCAGAAAACTGCATTTGAATATCAGCATAAACACATGTTCCGAGAAAAGTCAGGCAGATTTGTATCAGGGCCAAAATTTCTAAAAGACCTGCATGACAGCACAGCAAAGAAGCTTCTCAAAGTATTTACAGGCCATCATTTTCTTTCTTCCTTTAGAATTGTGATACAGTAGGAGAACTGCCTAAAGCAAGGATAAGAGAAGAAATTTTGAGACTGAAGTCTAATCATACTGGAGTTGGTCATTTATCCTGCCTCCTATATACAAGATAGTAATGATTTTATAGTTAACATTTAATTAACTATAAATATTACTTCAAGCATTTATTTCACTTACATCATAATATCCAAGTACTATATTTGAGATATTTCACGAGTCAAATGTTTGTTTTTTCTTTCCAGAATAGGAAAAAAACATGAACTTCAGACTTGCATGTTTTTCTTTAGGTGCTATACAGCACAAAATCAACTTCAACAACAGACATTATTTTGACTAAATCCTTCTCATGAAGTGAAGTTTTATTACACTTGCTTAACAGGATTATGACTAAATACTTACTTGTTCAGTGTGAGGTCAAGAATAAATCTGGAGCCAAAAGCTTCAATCTGGAAGCTTGCCTGGGCCAGATGGACAGCCTAGGGAGCCAAAAAGACAAAAAAAGTCCTTAGCTTACTTTCCTGCCTTCAAAGCTGATACATCAATATCAAGAATATTTAGTAAGAACTTTTTTATGGATTGACTTACTTCTTTACAAACCCTTATGTAACAATTCATTCTTCTGTTTGTGTTTATTAAAGATGTTATATACATTTATTTTTAGACAGAAGGGAAAGGAGGAAGAAAGAGAGGGAGAGAAATATCAATGTATGGTTGCCTCTTATGCGTCCCCTGCTTGGAACTAGCCTGCAACCCAGGCATGTGCCCTGACTGGGAATCAAACTGGCAATCCTTTGGTTTGTAGGCCAGCACTCAATCCACTGAGCCACACCAGCTAGGGCTCATTCTTCTTTAAAAAGAGTCTGGTGCATTGTCACAGTTGTACTCGGAAGTCCTGAATATCTGTGCAGCAAGAAACTCAGAGAGTCCTTTAAAATGAACACATCGTGATGGAAATCAAGAGTATATTCAGCTGGACTTACAAAGTGACCATGATGAATTGTGCAAAAGTCCGACTAATTAAAGCTTGGCTTCAGCTTATTTTGTGCACAAAGCTAACCAATTCTTTCTGCACACCTAAGTGAAAAATCATGTCAGCTCTCTGCTCTTCATCAGGAATTGGAACTTTCCCTAAATGATGTATCAGCAGAACGTTACAGTAAAATGGGATAGCACAACCTTTTAACTTCAGGAGCACTTAGAACCAGGCCCTCTGTGACGACTGAGAGTTTATGTCCCCCTTTAAAAGACACCCATGTATACCCCACCGCTTCTCAGCCTTTCAGCTAAGATGAGGTAAAATGTGTGTGAAAGTCACACATTTACAAAAGTTATCACTACTGTGCCTTAATTCAAAATACAAAGATAATCTCATCTACACACAAACCATGTGTACTAGGTGTTACACATTAGTATTATGTGTACACATTCAAGATTAGTATAGTTCATAGAATCATTTTGAATAATGTAAATTAACACATCAATGGATCTTTTTTATCATCACCCAAGGACATGTTTATTGATTTTAGAGGGAGGAGAAGGGAGGTACAGAGAGAGAAGTATCAGTGTGAGAGAGCAGCACCACTGTGCCCTGACCAGGAACCACCTCCATGACCTCTAGGTTCGTGGGCAACACTCCAACCAACGGGCAACCATCCAAGGCAAATCAATGAAGTTTTGTCCAAGTATTATCCAATACAAAACTCTCCTTTGTTCTCCTATGGGGAGGGGGGAAGGGGCAAGGATGGATGCAACATTCACACCCTTCTCCCCACCCCCTTGCTCACGAACATCCTTCCTCCAGGCTCCCTTCCCAAAACACAACACTGGCCACAACACTGGGGAAGCCGCACATGCACACAGCAGGCTCTTTCCACTCTCACTTTCTCCCCAACTGAGGCCCTACTCATCTTTTAAGGGCAAGCCCACAGCATTACTTCAAGGAAACTCTTCTTCACAAGCTTAAATGAAAGTGAACTCTTCCTCAGGGCTTCGGGGCAAACTTTATTTGCCCCTCCCTCCACTGGCAGGAACACTTCCCATTTGGGCGTGGCCCTGGCCCCGGCCCCGGCCCCGGACAGCGAGCTCCACGGCTCACATCACAAGCATCTGGCAAGCAGTTGTAGACTAATGGCCTTTCCCCAAAACATATGAACTTCCAATTAATTAAGCAAATGCTTATTGTCAAGACTTCTGTGGTGCCAAACCTATAACATACTATAAACCATGACTTCTTGTCAAGCATAAGTGCTGGTGAGAGAGTCATTCCATAACTGTCAATAAATCAAGTTCATCCGCATCACTTTTGAACAAATGCTAAACACAAAGCAATGACAAGGCACCTCAGTCCCTAACACCAGGTGACACAACGCCAAACGCCAACAGCCATGCAGAACAGGGCCATCGTACTTGATCTGGGTGTCCCACGCCCAGAAAGCTGCATGGGGAAGACACATCTGTCTGGTCAAGTCCGGTCTCCATCATCCGCAGAAGAACCTCCCTCTCCCTGATATGCGGGTCACGCACAGTCTTTAATCTGAACTGATTCTGTGTCTTGAAACATTAATTTTTGCATGAGTATTTTTATATTGATGAATTATTTCTACGAGGGGAAATTTTTCAGCTCTGGGTCCCAAAAGTTTTTAAAAAACCCCAAAACCTTACTTCCTGAGAATAAAATAGGTCCACAGACATATTTTCTCTTAGGAATATTAAATGATAGAGAAGAGTTCATTAATAAGAGCCCAGCCTAAAAGTGGTGATAAATGTACCTCCTTGAGCATCTTTACAAATACTAAGAAAAGCCAGTGGCCCAGCAAAAGTCTCATTTTACAGCAAATAAGCAATGAGACAAGTGCACACCCCAACAAAATCCCGGCGCAAGACGAAACAGCCTAGTACTGACAGCTTATCCCACTTCATAGGATTGCTGGGAGTTGGACAGTTTGATCATTGCTGCGTAAGTTTATACAGAGCCAATGTGACAGGTTGAGTTTGGCAGATTTACGGAGCAGCGAGAAAATACTATGAATACTGAGATTCTTCCACTGTGTTTTTCAGTCACTTGTGCCACACACGCATTAAGTCCCACTCTGCGCGTAAAGATGGTTAGGATGTGGCCTCTTGCTCAAGGAACATCAGGCTCCAGGGAAGCTGGGGACGCTGCCAGCCTCAGAGTTATGTCTAAGGGGTCACAGGGACTAAGGGTCATCGAAAGATGTGATCTGAACAAAATTCCAACAGATGCGTAAGAATCCATCTGGCAGGAGTAGAAAACACATTCAGGGCACGGGGCAGGGGGTGGGGGCTGGGAACATTCACAAAAACTGAGTAAAAAATAAATACAGAAGAAAACTTTTAATGTTTAAAATAGAATGTAGCCTGTAGGGAAATGGCTTTTAAAGGTAACATCAAGCAATGAATCTAAAAAGAAGTGGGCGGGAGACTGTGGGGCTTTGTGTGACATGCTCAGTGACAGGACCGCTCACCTACATATACATGCCTGTGGCCAAGGCGGCACGCTTTCCTCTCCATGTGCCCCCATATCCTCAACACAGTGCCAGGCACATGCCACTATCATCACTGCCATCCTCACCATCCAGGACAACACTGTGACTCAAACCTACTGACGGATCACTGCCCACAACTGAAACAATCACAGTGTCATCGACCACCTTCCTGTTTCTCCACAAGGGGAAAAATCTGATTTTATCACATGTATCAGTACGAATGTTGTAACTTTTTAATTTAATGCTAAGAGGCAGCACATTTCCCTATAAAGTGATTTCATATTTCCTCAAGCACCAATTTTCCTTGTAGGAACATCAAATGGAATTAGTATATTCATCTACTATACCTGTATCCATGTTAAGTAATTTCAGTTCAGTGGTATGGGTTATCCCCCTACATTCTGTTTCTCTTCCCATTGCTGTGCGGTCTGCATCTGTATGCAGAGTACCGATTCCTCTCTACACCCAAATAAAGACCTAACAAATGTTACTTTTCCTTGTTATTCTGTGCTGTTGACTCTGTCATATCCTGAGATGGCTTTTAACTTCTCGAATCTCGATTATTCTACATCAATTGATCACTTTTCTTCAACAAAGTATTATACAGTTTTGATAACTGTCACTTTTAAATATGTTTTCAAATCAGGCAAAATGAGTCCTCATCATTGTTGTTTTACAAATTACATTTTTGGATATTATTCGCTTTTATTCTTATTAACCTACTTCTTCCAAATGATAGAAAAATTGGAAGGATGGCCAAGATGAGCAGAAAATTGTATAATATACGGCCACAACACTTATGGTTCATTAAATATTGCAGAGTGATTCGCTGACCAGCATCACTGACACTCAATGAAATACAAAGCCTACCTTGAGTCTTTTACAAAGAAGGAACTCTGCATCAAGGTTTGGAGTGTGTTCAGTAATACAAAGTCAGACCACAGGAATACTTGAGAGATGAGTTCATGAACACACATAAGGTCATAATGAGTCATTTTCTCTTTCCAGATACCTGTTAGACACACTTGATGATTAACACTTGTTTTTACAAGGACAGTCACTGAAACAGAACTGGGAAGAATGCAGAGTTTTATCGTCAAAGAGTCATTTCACGAAAAGAATAAGCACAGCCCTGGGCTCAGAATTACCACCCTGAAGGACTGAGAACAGCTGTTGCCTAAACACTCCGATATTTTTCCTTTGACTCAGAATCTGGCACAGGGAAATTACAGGAGCTCTATAAACAAAAACAACTAAACTCAATTATATACACAAACCTCCTTCACTGAAAGAACAATTTACACATCTTAACAACGTGCTTTTGTTACTGTATTTTCCTTCGAATAGACGGCACCTAATGGTATCTTATTAAACAAGTTTAGGAGACGGTTAGGGTCCTCAGCGAAGACTGGCTTTGCATTTTATGAATCAACGCTACGATATGAAGCAATCATTGTGTTCAGCTTTGCATAAGGTATATTATATAAGCTGAACAGACACAGTTATGTTTTCTTGAGACTTATATTCTAGAACAGTTAATTTAACATGGTGATAGAAACAAGAGAAAAACGTGATTACATATAAAAATAAAAAGCAGGCACTCCCAGGATATATACATTTTCATGCAAAAATGTTTCACACATAACAAGTGCTCAATCAGTCTTCTTTACTACTTGGCAAGGATTTGTGAGTTCTATTTTGTGAGTTATATGAAGTAGGCATATAACTGGAACTAAACATGGAAGATGAAAAGTTTACTTTCCCAGATTTCAGAAAATGTTATGAGACTGAATTTCATAATTCAGTCGAAAGTGAGCAACCGGACTTGAGGTATATTCTCAATCACAACATCCTCTGAGCATGTATTTTAGTTTAGTACATGGTGTGGGAACCAGAGAAAAATGTGGGAGGAGTTTCCCTGCTCTTGAGGAGACAGTCTTGAAGTAACAGAGGAAATGTATCCAGAGTGA